TTCAGGTGATAATTTTCATGAGGTGAAGGACTTCTCATTTCGTGACGTTGTCTTATTGATATAAGCTAGTTATGTTTTGTTTAAGTTAATTTGACAGTCAATCACTTTAAATCTACACAGTCTCGTTGTCAGCTTGATCGGTAATACAACCAAGTAGCATAACTTATTCTAGATAAGTAAAGTAAGTAAAGTTTCCCTTTCAAACCTTACGGTCTATGGGGCAAGTGAAGTAGAGTTCACTTGTTTCTGTGACCTCGGCATATGAATAGATAGTGTGGTCAGCACTATGCCCAGCCGCCTTTACTTTCCATAACGTGAATTAGGTATCCATCAGAGTTGGGTGGACTCAGGGACGGTCTATTGACTTGCACCCGGATTCGAACTCGAGACTTACGGGTTGGCAGTCCAGCTCTCTACCGCTAGACCACTCCGTCCCACATTCTAGATAAGACATTAGAAAAATGTTAACGAAAAATTTCGAACTTGTCTAAAGACCTATACAATGTGTCCCAAAGATCTGAAGACACAGTTCCTACTTTCTATAGTCTGAGTGGACTCCAGTTTCAGGCGAGGGATACAAAGAGCTGAAAGAGAGGCTCAGGGTATAATGCAGTCCATTAGTCCTCCTCAAGGTCCAATCCATTTTCAATCGTGGGGTCCCAGCCCCCCCCCCCCCAGCTGTCCGGGACATACAATTACAGGGGAGCCAGAGATTAGTACATAATCGAATGTTGTTGGTTTAAACTCTGGAGGTCGATACGACCCGAGTGGGGATCGATACCAACTGAAGTGGGGGTCAATACAAAAAACTGAGGCTCGATACTATACGAGTAGGAGTACGATACCAAATAAGATGGTATCGATACCATACTTGATGAGATCGATGTCACCTCTAATGTATTCGTCACTTGGATATAGTGATGATACCTCAAGCCGAGATGGGATCGATCCTTAGAAATGTTCGATACCACTATAAATTTACTTGTTTAATTTCGGAAACAGATAAAGGAGGTGTTAGCATTGATATAAGCTGGGAAAGATCATATGATGGAAAGTGGTGGGTCAATGTGTGAGCGCATAATCATTCAGTGACACGACCAACATATTATTTGGTGACCCTAGCTATTCAGTGACACGACCAACATATTATTTGGTGACACTAAATTCAGTTACACAGCTAACATATTATTTGGTGACCCTAGCCATGCATTGACATGACTACCATATTATTTGGTGACCCTAGCTATTCAGTTACACAGCTAACATTATTTGGTGACCCTAGCCATTCATTGACATGACCACCATATTATTTGGTGACCCTAGCTATTCAGTTACACAGCTAACATTATTTGGTGACCCTAGCCATTCATTGACATGACCACCATATTATTTGGTGACCCTAGCTATTCAGTTACACAGCTAACATTATTTGGTGACCCTAGCCATTCATTGACATGACTACCATATTATTTGGTGACCCTAGCTATTCAGTTACACAGCTAACATTATTTGGTGACCCTAGCCATTCATTGACATGACCACCATATTATTTGGTGACCCTAGCTATTCAGTTACACAGCTAACATTATTTGGTGACCCTAGCCATTCATTGACATGACCACCATATTATTTGGTGACCCTAGCTATTCAGTTACACAGCTAACATTATTTGGTGACCCTAGCCATTCATTGACATGACCACCATATTATTTGGTGACCCTAGCTATTCAGTTACACAGCTAACATTATTTGGTGACCCTAGCCATTCATTGACATGACTACCATATTATTTGGTGACCCTAGCTATTCAGTTACACAGCTAACATTATTTGGTGACCCTAGCCATTCATTGACATGACTACCATATTATTTGGTGACCCTAGCTATTCAGTTACACAGCTAACATTATTTGGTGACCCTAGCCATTCATTGACATGACCACCATATTATTTGGTGACCCTAGCTATTCAGTTACACAGCTTACATTATTTGGTGACCCTAGCCATTCATTGACATGACCACCATATTATTTGGTGACCCTAGCTATTCAGTTACACAGCTAACATTATTTGGTGACCCTAGCCATTCATTGACATGACTACCATATTATTTGGTGACCCTAGCTATTCAGTTACACAGCTAACATTATTTGGTGACCCTAGCCATTCATTGACATGACTACCATATTATTTGGTGACCCTAGCTATTCAGTTACACAGCTAACATTATTTGGTGACCCTAGCCATTCATTGACATGACCACCATATTATTTGGTGACCCTAGCTATTCAGTTACACAGCTAACATTATTTGGTGACCCTAGCCATTCATTGACATGACCACCATATTATTTGGTGACCCTAACCTTTTTGTGATTAGGCAAATTGTTTTGTGATCCTAATTATTTTGTTATTTGGAAAACCTTTTTTTACCCTAACCATTTTGTGACTCGGCAAACGTTTTTTTTACCCTATAATTTTTTTTTGGCAAACATGGATTCCTCCTCATATACCAATGTTGAAAGGGGGATTAGGGTGGTGGAGATTTGTTGGAGAAAAGTCCCTCATCTCACATTAATTGATGCACCTAATTATAAAATTAGCGCTAAAGCAAACAATGTACAATCATGATTGATGGAAGTGTGGGAGTGGGCAGAGTGTTTCCAGGTGAGTGTTTACATTAGGGGGGGGGGGGGGTATGGGAAGGGGGGGGGGTTAAAAGCTGCCAGGGTTATCTAGTGCTCTGTAAAGGTACAAAGTGCTGGCCCTTGTTCTAAATATAAACAGAGCGTAGTGTTTGCGGGTGACCTCCCTTGGGATGATATTACAAATATTAACATTGTTATTAAAAGCTTTTTGCAGCTTTGTTTATTTATTTATCTATATTTTTAAAAAAAATTTCTGCATGCGACAGCACGAGTCTAATTTATGTGTCTATTTATTGTTGAAAACATATTGGCTAAATTAGAGACTGAGAATTTCAGATATTTTTAGCTACAGTTTTACAGTTTTTCCCCTGTAGAGATATACCGTTATTCTGACTAGACTGAGTTATCGACATGCATAAGTGTGTTTGTTAAGCATGAACAGTAGAGAATTAGGTCACGACATGGAAAAACACACAAACACAGACACACAGATATACGGACAACATTGCAAAATTATGTTTTTCCGTATCAGTAAGGTGTAAAACGTCGATATTTGTAAAAATCTCGATTTTTTTAATGCACGATTACAAGACTTTCTCTATACTTCGTATATACGAGAAAGTAAAAATGCACAAAATTATAAATTTACCACGTAAAATGTATACAAAAGCAACAACTATACCACCATGGTTTTTTTTTCGTGTAATTGCGAGTACAGGTTGTAAAAACAGTTATTCTCGTCAGAGGCGTAACAGTAGGTGGATGTTGGGTTATGTGTGTGCCTTTTCCGAATCATCGACCCAGAAAGCTGAAGAATTTTTATGAGCTTCGTATCGCATTAAGGCTTGAATACGAAACGTCTATCTACCACCACAATCCCCCTCTTATACCCTCCCCACACCCCTTCCCCCCTTCCATACATCAACAACAAAATAATTTGCAACAACTTTGTAAAAATGTAAAATTTCCTAATTTGACTACCTGGTGAAACTAATCATGTAAGTAAAATGAATTAGGCAGCGTAGAATTATAATAACGTACGTTTTTAGCATGACTTTATGTAAACCTAAACGTATAAACGTATCCCCCCTCCCACCTAGAGAAACTTTAATAAAACAGCTAAGTTTGGGAGTGACCCATGGACCACTTGAGAACCTCTCTAGAACTTACTCAGCCACACAGCACCGTGTGGGGGTTCTCTGCCCGTGTAATTGCCACTTTTCAATTACCCATAATCCCATTCTCAACGGATCTGACTCAACTGTCAACAAACGAAGTGGACTTAGACTCGACTCAAACCGGCACCGGACTTTTCCGGTCACACATGACAGGTGGGATTATCACGTGATTAGCCGGTCAATGGAAACGTGATCGCGCGGATTAGCATTGTATCAGGTTGGTTGAGGACACCTTGGGGTTTAATCAAATTTGACGGATTATCGTTGTGGTTAAGTCGACCGTGTCGGATTATCGCCGGCTCTGGGCGATTGTAGTAGAGATCAAATTAAGACACGTTTGGACGTTTCAAACACGTTGGTTTATATACTGTTCAGAATAACGTGCAAGATTTTTTCAAGTACGTCATGTGATTAAACACACGTTACCCCCCTGTAGTTAATCAATCAGGTAATTTGATAATCTTTAATTAATTACTAATCCGAGATTAATTTTAGCTGTTGTTCGCGGCTTATTATAGTGACATGTTCACATTAGATCTAAATGGGTAAAATAATACGTTATTTCCGCTTCCGTAAGCTAGAGATCGCTGAACTGCATACCATTCTATTGTGTGATAGCCCAGTTTCGTACGCTTCAAAACGAAGCAACGATATTCCATTCAATAATAAAGACGGCAGATAAATTAGTCCATGTAATTGTTTCCAGAAAAATACTTACTTTTAAGCTTAGAAGAAATTAGTTTGTATTTTCGTTAACGCCATTGTGTATAAATTAGACTGGTTTAGAAGATAATGTGCAGTTATACGATAATTACAGCATTTTAAAATGTTTTTACTTAGTCATAAAACTGCATCCGAGGGCTAACGAGATTAGCGTTTAGTCCATGTATAGTCAATTGATTAGACATACTGTCAACACAGCTTGTGTGTGTAGCACATGTGTAGTTAAGCTCATGGTTAGGAGATTAAGGGCTCGTGCCCGTAGGACGTCCCTGAGTCCACCCAGCATTGATGGGTACCTTACTCACGTTAGGGTAAGTAAAGGCGGCTGTTCATAGTGCTGATCACGCTACCCCGTCATACATCAAGGTCAGGGAAATTGGGGAACTCTACTTCACCTTTTCTGCGGACCGTAAGTTTTGACAGGGTTCTTTAGGAAACTGAATATTTCCTTACCTTAATGACGGCGCCATCGTGAGCCTTCTCGTTCTTGGCCGCGGCCATCATCTTGAGGGCCATCCAGGCGATCTGTTGGGCGTGGTACTGGCTGACCTTGTGGAGGCCACCGGCCACACAGTAGGCGTCGCCGATAGTCTCGATCTGAACACACACAGACCAATCAGAATATTTTAAAACATGGTTAAAATTTCAAATCATTATGGGACAATTTTTTATGTGAAAATCTACAACAAGCACTCGACAGTTAAATTGGACAGATGAAGACATGTTATTGACATGTGAAGGGTTGATTTTAACAATTTTCTAAACGTGGTTCTGAATGACACACGTAAAAGTCTCTTTGAACATGAAGAAAATAGAGCGGATTGGCTTTAAGACATGAACCAGGAAGCGGGGATGTTAACATGGCTGTCTGAATATGTGTATCATCGGAGCTATGACTACAGGGACTTCAAACATAGGGGCTTTGTTCACAGGGGCTTTGACCATAGGAGCTTTGACCATAGGGGCTTTGACTAAAGTAGCTTTGACCATAGGGGCTTTGTCCATATGGTCTGGTTTGGCTACCTTAGCACCAAACTAAGATATAAAACGAGAGCAGTTTGAGATACTTCAGAACTAAACGAATCAGAATACTTATCCTATAGACATACAATGTACCTATCTCTTACTCATCACACATATCAAACAGACATACCAGTTACCCCTTCACTGCCCCTACCCCGATATGTAGACTTACAAGCAACTTCGCTCAAATGCCCCAGCCCCCACACGTAGACATACGAGGTACTACCACCACTGCCCCAGCCCCCATACGTAGAAAATAAATTACCCCACCACTGCCACTTGTTTTTGAGACCTCGGCATATAAAGAGATAGTGTGGTCAGCTCTATGTCCAGCCGCCTTTACTTTCCCTAACGTGAGTTAAGTACCCATCAGAGTTGGGTGGACTCAGGGATTCGAACTCGAGACTTACGGGTTAGCAGTCCAGCTCTCTACCGCTAGACCACTCCGTCCAAGTGAACACAAGTGAACTCTACTTCACTTGCCTCATAGACCGTCAGGTTTGAAAGGGAAACTTTACTTTTTTTTTCCACTGCCCCAGTCCCCACACGTAGACATATGAGCTACCCCCACCACAGCCCCAAGACCCTCACACGTACCTTGTAGACATCGATGTCCACACAGTACTGGTCAAAGTGTGTGTAGAGTGAGTTGAGCATGTCCACCACTTGCATGGGCGTGGCCGTACTGCAGATGGCCGTGAACCCCACGATGTCGCTGAACAGCATCGTGACGTCATCGACAGTCATCGGCTCCACCTCCTCTCCTAAACAAAAAACATTTTATAATGGCACTAGTTTTTTGTTAAACTTATCAGGTAATTTATTTATTTACTAATTAGTTGAATTAATTGATTAAACCAGTGGCGTAGCGAGGTCGGGTATCACCCGATGCGGCACTTAATGGTGTCACCCCCCAAAGGCTTAGCCCCAGGGACAAACTTTCTATTTTCGATTTGCACCCACCCCCCCCCCCCCTCTCAAACTTTCGATTTAAGTGGAATTATCATTTTTCTCTATATATTTTGCTATTTTTTGCCTTGGTGTCACCCCCCCCCCCCCAATGGTGTCACCCGGTGCGGTCCGCAATCCCCTCGCTACGCCTCTGGATTAAACCAATCATCGCAGACATAATTTCGAGACCAAAACTGTGTATTTGTAAGGCTAAGTGCATGCACAGTATAATAATCCCGAGTACAAAACTGCATCAGTGAATGAGAACAGGAATCGGATCACTTAGATCGCACTTCCCCAAGTTTCTGGGCTATGGTGTAGCTGTGGGGTGAGGTGTGTGTGTGTGTGAGGGGGGAGAGAAACTCACCTCCCCAAAATTTCTGGGCTATGGTGGGGTGTGAGGTGTGTGTGTGTGTGTGTGAGGGGGGAGTGAAACTCACCTCGCCAAAGCTTCTGGGCTATGGTGGGGTGTGAGGTGTGTGTGTGTGTGTGAGGGGGGAGTGAAACTCACCTCGCCAAAGCTTCTGGGCTATGGTGGGGTTTGAGGTGTGTGTAAGTGTGTGTGTGTGTGAGGGGGGATAGAAACTCACCTCGCCAAAGTTTCTGGGCTATGGTGGGGTGTGAGGTGTGTGTGTGTGTGTGTGTGTGTGTGTGTGTGTGTGTGAGGGGGGAGAGAATCTCACCTCGCCAAAGTTTCTGGACTATGGTGGGGTGTGAGGTGTGTGTGTGTGTGGGGGGGGGGAGAGAAACTCACCTCGCCAAAGTTTCTGGACTATGGTGGGGTGTGAGGTGTGTGTGTGGGGGGGGGGGGGGAGAGAAACTCACCTCGCCAAAGTTTCTGGGCTATGGTGGGGTGTGAGGTGTGTGTGTGTGTGTGTGTGTGTGTGTGAGGGGGGAGAGAATCTCACCTCGCCAAATCTTCTGGGCTATGGTGGGGTGTGAGGTGTGTGTGTGTGGGGGGGGGGAGAGAATCTCACCTCGCCAAAGCTTCTGGGCTATGGTGGGTTGTGAGGTGTGTGTGTGTGTGTGTGTGTGTGTGAGAGGGGGGAGAGAATCTCACCTCGCCAAAGCTTCTGGGCTATAGTGGGAGGAAAGATCTCCAGCAAGAGGTCAACGTTTTTCTGTTTCTCCACGTCCACAGCTTTACTGGCCGTCTCGATACTTTTCTTGAGCTGCTCCATCCTTTTCTTGAGACCATCCTGTGGGGGACACAATCAAGACGTTTTAAACAGCTGGAGCAATACATAGATGTAGTGAAGGAAGCGATTTACAAATTAATAGCAATACATAGCTTTAGCGACGCAGCGTGGTGTAGCAATACACAGCTGTCCCGACGCCGCGTCGTTATAGGAGAAACTCATAAATGAGAGACACTACTTCAAGAAATGAAACTAAACTTTATGAATTTTCAACATTTTCTTTTATGTTAGTGCACGGTTTTTCTGCAATTTTTGTATTTAGGTTTTGTGTTATTTCTGACACTATTAACTGAAACGCGAAAGTTGGATGAAAACTGGTTCACCAAAAATAATTTCTTTAAAAAATAGCAGGTCGTTGTTTTTTTGTTTTTTGTTGTTGCTGTTTTTTTTTTTACCAAGAGTAATTTAAAATTACAAAAAGAACAAATACGAAAAAAAAACCAATCGTTCAAGGTAAAGAGTTTAAAGACTATTTTGCAAGTATAATGGAAGACGAATCAGTATTAATCTAAAGTGTTTCCACTGTGGTAGGAGGGAGGGTGTTGTACTGGGTCTTTAAGTCTAACTGTTTTTGTACCCCGGCACTCGAGTTTCTTGTAGTATAGACATATTTATACATACATATATATATATATATATATATATATATATATATATATATATATATATATATATAAATATATATATATATATATATATATATATATATATATATATATATATATATATATATATATATATATATATATATATATATATATATATATATAAACCCTGTATAGAATTTGGCAAGGGCACGTAGGTCGCCAAGAACTAATCGAACTGTTATTGACGCACCTGTTGCCAGTAAGTACAAGCATGATTACCCCCAATACAAAATCTGGAGCATCCAATCAGATCGCTTCTTACAAATTACTACGCCGGAAATGTCAATCTATGAAACTAATCTAACCTACACCGATAAATTTGGGGTTGGAAATTAAATCGTTCGCGAGACAAGATGTAATAAATGAATGTTTAAAGTGTTTGACAATTTGAATTTGTAATCATGAATTTCGTATAGATTAATCGCTCGGATTTAAATTTGACATTAATATTTATGTAAAGATAATAGTGATCCATTTGAAGATAGGATAGATGATGTTTAAACATGAATCAATTAAAGCGAATGGTGTCTGAAGATTGTTCGGGCGCATTACTTCCCTTATGTTATGTAGTGTAAAATTCTTATTAAAAATAAAATACGTTAAGAAAAGTTCTTAATTTCTAAATAATTTTCGAAAAGTGGGACAAATAACAAACTTTAGTCTAAATATGGACAGAAAAAGAAAAAAAAAAAGTAACGACAGCAGCCATAAAAAAAAAAAAAAAAAAAAAAAAAAAAAAAACTTGTGAGATTTGCTAAAGTATTGAAGTGAGGGCGTTACGAGCCAATTTAAGCCCCGAGACGGCCGTCTTTTGAGTTCAAGGATCAACAGCACTGCCTAGGGAAAACAGAAAATTGAATCGTTTTGTATTCGGTCGGAGCTGGCGTCCACTCCCCCGTCCACCCCTGCCCTGCAGTGGGGCGTTCATACAACATGGAAGGGGCGCCGATTTCTAAGAGGGCTGGTGACGTCATTAAATTGCAGCAGATGTAATTTCCTGTCTCATCGGAGAAAGTTCGATCCAAGCCTTTTATTGGCGATTGACACATTGACACACAGAGACACACTCAGACACACTCAGACACGGGTAATTGGCGGTGGTACATACAGCAACATTCATCGTGTGTCGTCTTCAAGTGAACATTACAGCTTGCTATACAAATCGTTTGATGAGCTTTTTATGGGGGTCTATCTATACTTGGACATCTGAGACTATATATATATATATATATATATATATATATATATATATATATATATATATATATATGTATGTGTGTGTGTGTGTGTACACTAACCAATTTAATGCATGCAATCTTTTGTTTTGGGCAAGCAATAAGGAGAGAAGAGCTTGGTTTTCTACATATTTGCTCTATCGCCAAGTGTTTTACTAATGGGGCGGGGGGGGGGGGGGTGGAGTGAGAACAACCAGGTTATTAATAATGTTGAGCACACCGAAAACTTCAGGAATGAGCATCGTATAATGTTCAATGTGTTGACGTAATTCCTATTCCTTACTTTGGTCACAGACATACATACACAGACACACACACATACACACACATACACACATACATACACACAGACAAACAGACATACCCAGACACACTCACCGCCCACCCCACCATTCAGGTGTTACGTTCGTGTTATGTTTCCTCCATTGATCAGGTGACACGCCACGTGATTATATTAGCTATTAATAGAACAGGTGACAATCACCTACTGGACAGAGGGCTCCCCACTTTACCCATTATGCCGTGGATTAATCTAATTACACAGTTAATCCACTTTACACGCCAAACAGAAATACAAGTAATACTGATTAGTATGGATTAGCCCAACATGTTTATGGTGATCGATTTTTACAAAGAATGTCCCATACACACTAGTAGCTAGCAATACGCAAAGGACATGTCGCCTTCAATAGCCTTCAGAGCTGCTTGACCCTCGGCTAGTTTCTCCAACTAACAATCTCACTAATTAGCTTTTGTCATTACCTTTTTTTTTCAGTTACAGGAAATCTAATTACCAAAAGCTACAGTTGTATAATCAACAACCAAAGCGTATACTCAAGTGAAAGTATTTCATTTTTGTGCGATAGTTGATACATTATTCATGTTCCAATTACTAGTATCGCCGTTAGCACTAGGCCTACTTCTAGTATTAGGACAAAGTCCTAGTCCTAACCCTTTGGGCACAACTAAGGGCCGTACTGGAGAAATAAATACTAGGTTAAGATTAATCGATACGAACTAAATTTAATTCGTGTTAAAAATATATAGAGTTGTAGTTTCAATATGCCACTATTCTCTATTATACGGAAGAACGAGCATTTGTACTTTAAGATAGAGGAAAAAATTTGAATTTCGAATCTCACCAGAGTGCTCTATATTAGGTTTGAAATAGAATTGATTTAGATCAATTTGGCAGATGGATTGGGGCTGGAATTCTATTCTAGTCTACGATCTGCAGCGTCAGTTTCTGCACACCTTGTTCGGATAAGATGGGACGTTTCCGGTACGGTGGAGTTTAACTGGACGGCTGCGGAAGTCTAGAATAAAATGGGACGCTTCCGGTACGGTGGAGTTTAATAAAGGTAATTTGATTTTCAGAATGACTCGATTGAGTACTGGTGTGGGAAGACTATAGGGCGGGGTATGGTCTCGGTGTTGCCGTGGTAACGAAGCTTTGGGTGGAATGTTAGGTGGGGGGGGGGGGTTAATGGCTGAGTGGTGAGTGCTAGGCCATCTGGTGTGTTCACGCGTGTAGGTAATGTCTAGAAGGGGGTGAGCGGTTCTTTTGTTTGGACTTTAGTGGTTTTTATTAGGTTGGTGGTTTTTATTAGGTTGGTGGTTTTTATTAGGTTGGTGGTTTTTATTAGGTTGGTGGTTTTATTAGGTTGGTGGCTTTTATGAGGTTGATGGTTTTTATTAGGTTGTTGATATTTTAGGTTGGTGTTTTTTTTAGGTTGGTGTTTTTTTTAGGTTGGCGGTATTATTATGTTGATGGTTTTCATTAGGTTGGTGCTTTTTATCGGGTTGGAGGTTTCTGTGTTGGTAGTTTAATAACAGTTAAAAGTTTTAGTAAGTTTGGAAGTTTTGGTAAGGTTGGTGGTTTAGGTTATATTGGTGCTTTTGGTAATGTTGATGGATTCGTTAGGGTAAGTGGTTTTGATAAAGTTGATGGTTTAGGATAGGTTCGTGAATAATTGTTTTGCTAATTGTTGGTGGTTTTCAAATGGTTTTTTTTTTCTAACGGTTGGTGCAATTACTAGTTGAGTGACTGTTTTAAATAATGTCTTCTATTCTAGAGAGAACTCTCATGTAGTGTGATGTAGGTGATTAACACATAGAGATCAAGTAAATGTAAGCAGAGTACAAAGCAAACACACATATGACAAAAGGTTAATATCCATTGTTATGTTGGTCATACATACGATGCATGGCATACGTGTTGCGAGCAAAATCATCTCGTACTTAAATGAGACTCGATAGCTGGGAAACAAATAACCCATCTTGGAGAGAAAACTTAAAGGTCAAAAACATACTATCTCGTAGATTGTTCTTGGATAGAAAATCAAGGCAACAGGAGCAGACACAGAAAGATAAGCAGATTGAAGGCTTAGCCAACGGGATAGATAGCATAAAACACGTTAGCACGTAATACTTAATTGTATTGGAGGAAATCTCCATTATTTCAATTAAGAACGAAGAAGAAGAAGAATTGGTGACAGTCTGATAAAGTAAAAACCACGGGACTTATTTTTCTGGAAACTTCTTCAACTGCTCTATTTTTTATTGGGACAGTAGCCAAGCAAACCATTCTTAAACGTATACCTTCTAAATTACTCTAAAACAACAGCACTAATTGCCAATATGTATTCCAAAAACTAAACTTCCAAGCCCCTATCATCAAACATTAAAACCGGACTACCTGTTCTAACCGTCAATTAAAACAACGCTAATAGACCCAGATAGTGCTACTGTCGATGTATAAACGTCACGTCGCTTATCATTGAAATCACGCCATAGTGTTTTGGTCGATGTATAAACGTCACGTCATCTATCACGCCATAGTGTTATGATAAATGTATAAACGTCACGTTGCTTATCATTTAGATCACGCCATAGTGTTATGCTCGATGTATAAACGTCACGTCATCTAGCCTTGAGATCACGCCATAGTGCTATGGTCAATGTATAAACGTCACGTCGTTCAGCCTTGAGATCACGTCACAGTGTTACGGTCGATGTATAAACGCCACGTGGTCCATTACGCCACTTCGGGACTCCCATTGATCACCACTAATTACTAGTAAAGACCGTAGTAAAGTATAGTGGGTGGAGGTGA